AATCCATCTGTAGTCCAGTTTCATCTAACTCCAGTCCGTTTGCCTATAAACTCCGGTCCGGTTGGTGAGGTGTGAACGCTAATTGAGGCTCCAATCCTCGGTCTGGGTTCGGTTGAAGTGAATTCTTGAAGCAACGCCAGGCGGACCAGAGACCGCTCCAAAAGCAGGACCTGGACTACAAAGCCTGTTTTAGAATTGGTTCCTGTATTTGGTTTTTATTTTGTTGCTGAATTGTGCCAAACAAATAAATTTAACTTGACTTAGAAAACAGAGGTTCCCACAAGCAAAGAAATCTCCTTTTAGCAGTGATTTTGTGCCTTTATGTGAGTTTCGGGAACATTTCAGGGCCAGATGCAGACGTTCAGGTGAAGAGCAGCTGGAGTTGGGCTGGACCAGGTGAGACAGTGATAATGCTGACTGGTCTGAGGTCAGCTGGGCGGTTTCTCTGAAGATCTGCAGCTATAAGTAGAGCGTCAGACTGCGTGGCGCTGTGGAGACAGAGCAGTCTGGTTCTGTTGTGCAGCTCCTCCTCCACATGGACGATTTGACTCTTTCTGCAGGAGTGAAATGTGAAACACTGATCATGTTTTCTGGCTGATTTACCGTTAAGCAGGATGATGATTAACTCCACAGAGGTTTTGTTTTTCACACTAACTGCCTACTTTCACTCTGATGTTCTGAAATATTTGTATTTCACTGTTGTTCTGGTCCTGTATGTCCTGATTATCAGCTCCAACGTCCTGCTGATCGTGGTGATCTGTGTGAACCGGAGCTTACATGAACCCATGTTCCTGTTCCTCTGCAGCCTGTTTGTGAACGAACTGTACGGCAGTTTGGGTTTGTTCCCCTTCCTGCTGGTCCAGATCCTCTCTGATGTTCACATCATTCCTGCTCCGCTCTGCTTCCTGCAGATCTACTGTGTTTACACCTACGCTCACATCGAGTTCTGCAACCTGGCCATCATGTCGTACGACAGATACCTGGCCATCTGCCGCCCCCTGCAATACCACGCCCTGATGACGCCGTCCCGGATCGCCAGGCTGGTCGCGCTCACCTGGCTCTTCCCTCTCCTTGAATCTGTAGCAGGAATATTAATGACCGTCTCTCTGCAGCTCTGCGGAAGCGTCATCCATAAAATCTACTGTCACAACCACTCCATCGTTAAGCTGGCCTGCGCCGACACCACAGCCAGCAACGTTGGCGGAATAGTTTACATGTTCACCATAATCCTGGGGATTATCGTCTTAATCCTTTATTCATATGCTGAGATCCTGAAAGTGTGTTTCTCTGGATCCAAGCAGACCCAGCAGAAGGCACTGAGCACCTGCGCGCCTCACCTGGCCTCGCTCATTAACTTCTCCTTCGGATGTTTCTTTGACCTGTTTCAGAGCAGGGTGGAGGTGAGCGGGGTTCCTGAGGCGCTGCGGGTTGTTTTATCTCTCTACTTCCTGACCTGCCAGCCGCTCCTCAACCCTCTGCTGTACGGACTCAACCTGTCAAAGATCCGCAGCTTCAGCAAACGGCTGGTTCTGGGACGAGCTGAGCTTCCTGAACTGCAGAAACACTAAACCTTACCAAATGTTTCTGGTTTCCAGCCCAAATGTTTTCATAATCCTGACATTAGATTGAAATTTGATCTGTCAGGATTACAGATTTAGCTGGACGATAAATTGCCCCACAAGTTATTGCAATAAATGATAATATTGTTGCTTTAAAACCATTTTCAAGTAATAAGATGCTAATTGGATTCTCAAAGATAATTAACTTTAAATTCCAATGAACATGTAACACTGGAAGTAAAAAATATTAAAAATACCCAAAATAAATAAACAAAACAACAAACAAAAAGTATCAAAGTCTCTGTAAAAACGGTCCTTTAACAAACCTGTAAGCTGAGACAGAAGCATCAGACTGAAGACTTTCATCATCCAGTTTTTGGTAGAAAAACAGTAAATTATGTGTATTGTGCAAATGGGAATAAGAGAAAACTAACTTAAAGTAACTTTTCAGCAGGAGCTTCTTTTAGGTCAATAATTCATTCATATTTTAAAATGATTGGTTCCACTGTTAGATTATTTCACATCAAGATGTTTCCCCATAAAAATGACATAATCTGCCAGTGGATCTAGTACTTTTTAAAATGTCAACTTTAAGAAATTATTGACAAAACAAGCTCCTATATGCAGATGAAAAGTTATTTTAAAGTTACTTTTCTCTTGTTTCAGGTGAACTAAGACTTTTGCTCTGGAAACTGAAGTACTTTGTAATATTTTGTGCTTTTTGCAGAGGGGATGGATTCTTTGAACAAGTGTTTTATAAACTAAAGCTGCTTTTACCGTCTGTCAGTTGTGATAAACTCGGAGTTTAAATCCATTTTATTGGCCTGGTTTTGTGTTTTTCTGCTGTTTCTGTCATGAAGTCATAAAGATTTTATAGCAGCTGAAATAAGGTTTCATTCCACTTCCTGCTGTTGTCTCTGGGTCAGCGGCTCATAAATATTTCCATAAAAACTCAGAAATAAATGCTTCTTCCTGTCAGGAACATCATCCGTCCTACGCTAGTTTGAAGAGAAAAACAGTTTGGTAAAAGCAGGGAAAATAATATTTTAGTTAATTATAATAATGATTGAAAAACAGATTAAACTTAGATTAAAACATTTAAGTTCAGTCATTGTCTTCATGCTAAACCACACAGATCAAAGTAATCGGCACCTTTTCTGCAAAATATTGCAGAAAAGGTTTTATTTTATGAGTAATGAAAGTAAAAATCTCCCATTTGTTCCCTGATTATTAATACATAAAACACAACTATATTTTATTTTTAAAGCACATTTTAGCTGAATTGAAGATAAAGTTTCCAGCTTTTTTTCCATGTAAGCCAAGAAAATTAAAGCTGAAAGAACTTGAGGGAAGTAAAACTAAAATTTCAATAACTATTAAATTGTATTATAAGACTATTGCTAATATATTCAACTGAACTGAAAAATAAAATGAATGCAATAAGAGTTGAATTGTTTTAATTTTTATTTAAGACATGCAGCATCAGTAACGGTAAAAATATCTCTTAAGGGCAAAACTGAATCATTTATGTTTCATTTTATTTTGGAGAGTCAACTTACAGTTTATTAATAAAATAAAATCAATCAAAATGACAATAATTAACAAAGCAGCTGTACAGGTGAAAATAATCAGCAGCAGTGAGACAACTGGTGAAATCCATGAGACGATAATAATTAAGCCATGAAAAGTTGAAACAACCTAAAGGTCAAAGTGTTTTTTATTTTTGAATAAATGTTGGTGTGAAATCATTAAGACAGAACAGCTGTGAGTTTGTCTACTGCAGACTTTACAAGTTTGGAAACTAAAAATGCATCAAACTTTTCTTTTTAAAGCGACAAGAGAAAAACTTTGTCACAAATCACAGAAATAAGAAAATAATTTAAAAAAACTTGAATGATTTGATGCATTAAAACAATAATCTTCCATAAGCTGGAATTATGATTATATATCTCTGAATATAAATATTTTCTGTTTATATTTTGACAAGTAAGAATTTTAAAAAATATATTTTATTGCATCAATATTAAATAACAAAAATGACTTTAACTGCTATTATTAAAGTAAGAGTTTCTCTACTTCATGTTTTTACTCAAGTAAAAGTAAAAAGTAGCAAAAAATGACTTGAGTAACAATTTGGTGAAAAGTACTGAGTAGCTGATCAAATTACCAATCATTTAATATTTAAAAATTACATCATCAGAGGGATCAAAATTTACAGTTACATGGATTTTTTAAAAGACAAAAACTACAACAATTCTTAAAAGTTAAAAACAAAATATTAAAATAAAATCAGGCAAAGAAAATATTTCCAAATCAGTTTGTTTCAATAAAAAACTGATAAAACTTTAACAGAAACTACAGGTGTGAGTGGATTCCTGGTTAAAATAAAGTTTTTTTCATTCAGTGGGTAGAAAATCAAGAAATTTCACTCAGGTAAGCGTAGAAGTACTTCAGAATTAAATTACTCAGGCAAATGTAACTGAGTAACTAGTTAGTATCCAGCTCTGCTCTTAACCACCGGTCTACTGTGGAGTTTATCTTTTACAAACCTTTGAGTTTACAGGACGTTAGACTTTGGGGTCATCAGAAAACCTCAGCTGTCTTTATGAACCAGAGAAACTTGTTCAGGATTTTTCAGAAACTTTGCGGAGTTTTCAGGAACAGGCTCCTGCAGAGGCCGCGTATTCTGGACACGTTGAGCCCGTAGACGGCCGGGTTAAAGAGCGGCGGACACGCCAGGAAGTAGAGAGACAGGAGGATCTGAAACACCGGAGGGACGCCGCGCATGCTGAGCCTGCTCTGAATCACCTCAAACACACATCCGGTGCAGAAGTTCACGAGCGAGGCCAGGTGAGGCGCGCACGTGCTGACCGCTTTCTGCCGCGTCTGACCGCATGCAGAGAAACACACCGTGAGGATCCGCAGGTAGGTGTAGAGCAGGGGTCCCCAAACTACGGCCCGCGGGCCGGATCCGGCCCGCCACGTCATTTGGTCCGGCCCCCTGAACAATGCCGGATCCGGCCCGCCTGCTCATACCAGAGAGCATTCAGTGTTTTTTTTCATATATTGTATTTTCCGGTTTATATGTGGATTTTTCTTCAACCACCAGGGGGCTTTTGAGCAAATGTGAAACTTACTTTCCCTCAATGGAATATATACTCGTCAGTCACCGTTTCACTCACGGTTTTTTCCATTTGCATTCTGGGTAAAAATCTATCCAAAAGTGTCGTCGTCTCCCCCCGATAATCAGAGCCGATAATCAGGACATACAGGACCAGGAGGACCAGGAAGAGCAGCTGCCTCACCAGCCTGGTGTCAAAGTAAGCAGCCAGGGTGAAATACGAAACATGCGTGGAGTTCATCATCATCATCATCATCATCATCATCATGTTTCAGCTGGTTTATGGAAGGTTTTACAGCCTGAAAACACTTGGTTGGACTTAATTAAAAATTCCTGTCTCACTTCGACACCTATGCTGAATTTCAGCAATTACAACACACGAAAATGCATTTTAGAGAAAGCAAATTATTCCTGTAAATTTTAAATATGCTAAAACAAAGTATGATAAAGTAAGTTTTATCCGTCCTGTTTAACCTCTCCTCTCGCATGTAATCAGACCGGAACGCTGCAGCTTTTAACCCCTTCAGTTTCCTCCCACTGACGCAATCAGCCAAGAACATGACAGATTTACCGCCATCTGCTGGTCAGTCGCAAAAGTTTGACTTTGCCTTAACCCTGAAAGTCAGGCTTTCGTAGAGTGAAATATTTAAGCCTTTACTTCCTGTAATTTTGCTAACTACAACTTGTAGAGAGTAAAAATGTATGGCAAAGTCAGAGAAAGTTAAGTGGAAGGAAAAAGAGTGGTTGGTAGTGTGATAAAAAATATAACTAACTGGTCCTATTTTGTGAGTTTATAAAACTAAAACATGCTGAAATTATAATTTAATTTGGTGTTGCATATTTTTACGTAAACTGTCAGCAAATTACGGACAAAAGATTTTTGATTGTCCTCAAAACAGCGACAGCACAAGAGAAAACTGCAGTTTGTTTGTTGTTAGTGATAATTAATTACAGTTTCTGAAAATGGTTTCTTCTGTTGAGTATTCATCCCAATCGATGTAAATATAATCACAATAATATTTTGACCTTTTTGAATTCTGCACCTAATGATGGAAAAACTCAAACTGTGACTATAACTAATAAAAACTAAACTAAAACTGAGCAACCAGTTGCGCAAAATGTGGGTATGTAACGCATAGGGGCGCTTCACCAGAGGGGCCGTCAAAACCCCGTGTGGAGGGGGCGGCGCGCCGATGATGCCTTCGTTTCACCGCGCCACATGTAAATGTAAAAGTAGCGAGTTTTACCTTTCACGTGTCTTCGGGGGGACGACGCCGATTTATGTTTTCGCCTCCACCTGAATAATATGTAGTTGCGCTCCTCTGAGCAACATTTAGCTAATAACTAATAAAAATGATCAAATTCTCTGTAAAAACTGAGTAAAACTGAATTAGTGAAAAAGTCAAAAGTAAATAAAACTAATCTATAATAAAAACAGAAAGTCCTGCAGGAACACTTTAAGCTAGCAGTAACAGGAACAATCAAAAGAAAAACTTCACATAACTTCATTTGTTTTTAGTTTGGCTGAAAGTTTTAAATCTAATTATCACTGCGTCTGTAAACAAAGTTTGTTGTTTTCCCTGCGAGTCTGCGGGGACGTCGTTAATGTCCTGAATCTCCGGAGGACAGACGGACCTGCGCTGCGTGTTGTTGCTCTGTCTGCTTCAGAGGGAATTACAGGACCAGTTTGACTCTTCCTCTGGATCAAGACATCCGGCTGGAATGATGCAACTTCTCCAAACAAGTTTCTGCTTTCGATGCTGAATCTGACTTTTTTAAATACCGTAATCTGGAAATAGTTTCAACTGTTCTCTTCTGACTGAAAAACTCTCAGGTGTGATTAACACTATCTTCATTTCTATTAACCATAAAATTACATAAATTGAAATTACGAAAATAAATTTGCTTGATTGAAACACTGCAATTTCAGAAAAACAAATTTTTTAATAACGTTTTTGAATTGGAATGAGGTGTTTGTGTTTTTCAGCCGTATCAAAGCAGATTTATTTTGCAAAACTCCAAAATAAATCTGCAGTTTTGCAGATTCATTTTGCAGTTTTCTCGAATCACAAGTCACATGATCAACAGCCGGATGTTACTACTGGCAGAAACGACAAAGACAACAGGAAGTGGTTGGAGGATGATGTTTGTTTTCATCACGTAGTTTAAGTGTGTTGATTCCATCGCTTGTGAAATGGCCGACTACAGCTTCCCCTTAACGCTGCATACTTAGCTGCTCCAAAGTAGGCGGGGCTTGTTGCTCTAATGCCAATGTCTCCTCTGATTGGCTGATAGATGACGGCTGAATTAGGAATAAATCTCATCTGTTACGATTTTTAATGAAGGGACGAAGGGAGACAGACTACTGTTAAACTTAGCTAAAGCTCCAAGTGCTTAAAGCTAACTAAGAAATAAACTGCTGAACTCCAGTGGTAATATTTCTCTATTAAATATTTCTCTTACAACTTTTAAAACAAATTTTGATGAAAAGCTTAATTTGTGGGGGAAAAAAATAAAACAAAAAAAAAAGCTGAAAACCTTAAAGCTGATTAAGGTAATTAAATCCCAACCATCCCAGCTCAGCTCTTATCTAACCTTTTCTATTTTTTTTTTGTTTGTTTTATAATTAAAACCTTTACTAACATCTCGTATATATGTTTTCCTAATGGTCATGTGCTGCAGAACATCATACATTTATTTAATCTCTTTGTTCTCAAAACTATTCCATATATGATTGATTAAAATTTTAAGTAGATTCAAACATTTTATTTATATAGGAATTAATAAAATTGGGCCGTTAAACTATACTGAGAAGAAAATGTATTTATATGATATGTACATATTCAGTTTTAATCAAATTATCGGATATATAATTGTTATTTACAGGAACGTAATTTAGAACTTGTTCGAAGGAGGAAAATGTAAAAACTAAAGCATGGAGCAGAAAGTGAGGGGATAGAAGAGAATAACAGATTAACTGATGAGCTTCCATTGATTAACATACACGGACATGCGCTGACGGCGGTCAGCCACCAGGGGGCGGAAAATCACCCATCATGTCAGTTTTATCTTCTGAAGGCAAACATCTCCACCTGCTGGTCAAAGGAACATACTGCAGCTTAGCTTGATTCATTCCAAATAGGTTTGGCGTCACGATGATGATTCAGAAGAATTTAAATTAAATCTTTACAAAAGCTATAGCTGTATTTTATATCCTAAAAATATATTTATTAACCTTTAATCTGGATTTAACAAGCAGCCATGGATACATGGAGTTATTAAAGATCTGAACAGGTATTTGCAGCCCCTTCAGTAGATTTGTGTGGCGCCTTGACTCAGTTTAGGAAAGGTTTAAATGCAGCTGATGCAGATGGAGACTTTTTTATTTGAGATTTTTAATAACAAAATTAAAATCTTGCAAAACAAAATGTCGGTACAAATCAGGTGCTTTTAGTTGTGTTTTCATATTAATGTCAGTAAGTAGGCCACAAATGTCCAGCGGACTAAATCACATCCTGTAATTAGAATAGGCTAAATCCAGTTAACCACTGTGGAACAAACTTCTCATTTTAGTTGAATAAATTAAAACAAGTTAGGAAACTGTTCGAGTCTGAGACACCTTTTTAGACGTTTTCATTAAAATAAATGATAATTTGTTGCTGAGCAGGTAAAAATAAGAATTTACGATGAAATTATTTTTGCATTTTAACTGAAAACACCACAAACAGATTGTGGTCCCTGAGTGTGTCCAGCCTGGTGATTTCGGACACTACTGACTGAGACTCCGTTCTCCTGACCTGATCTGCACACATTGAGGACAAATTTCAACCCAAACCAGTGAAAAGATGCTGATTCTCAGCAAACTCCACACCCAGCAGAGCAAAACTTCATGGAGAAAAAAGATGGAAGACTCTGGACGTGAGACACGTTTATTTCTGAGACAGCGCGAGTCCACACGTCCCTGGTCACAGACTTACCCATAATTCACTAACATCTCAGAGAAACTCTCCAGATCACAGTCTCAGTTCAGAGAGGCTTTTATTCTGAAAAGTCCAGGCTGTGGCACAGTAACACCTTCAGAAACCAGGAGACCCGCTCCGGTCCCTGCAGAACCCAAACCGGACCAGCGTCTCCTCAGCGGAGTCCAAATGCAGGCCAACAGGTCGGGTCCAGTCCCCTCCTGTTTCTGGTTCCGGTCTACCTCTCAGAGCTGATCTTGTAGCGCAGGACGAAGTAGGCGATGACCCGCAGAGAGAAGAAGAAGATGGCGAGGACGATGAAGTCCAGGTAGAGTTTGGCGTCCAGCATGTCCAGCTCCTTCAGGATGGCCTCGGACTTCTGGAAGTGACAAGCGTTGTCTTCGTCGCAGTGAAGATCCGGTCGGTCCATTCCGTAGATGGACAAGATGGCACCCTCAAAGCCGTACCTGAAACACAGCAGCACTGACGATGATTAGCTTTGGTTTTAGCATAACGCCTTAAATCTGATATATAAAAGAAAAAGGAACACAATGCTTTACTACTAATTGTCAACATTACGACAACCAGATAACAAGGTCAGGAAAAAGTTTTAAGAAAAACAATGAGGGAGATGGAAGTAGGTCAGCTATGCTAGCTTGACTTTGACAACTGTAACATATGGATGTGCTGTGGAGTTCAGTGTTTTAGTTCAGTTAAAAATAAGAAATGAAAAAAAGGCAACCTAAACACCAACTCTGGCAGACCATCAGTAGAGCAGGTGTTTAAATTAGCTAATCTACCGCAACAGTGTTAGCTTAGCTAGTAGCAGCGTTAGCTAATCTACCACAGTGATCACTTAATACTCATAAAATAAAATTCAAGCCTAAAAACATAAAACTGTAACATCCTGAATGTTCTGTTCTTCGTGTGGGAACTGTTGGTGTTTTTTGGTGTTGAATCCTGAAACATGAAATATTGACAAAAAGTTATTTTTGTCTTCTTGTCAACAGCGCCCCCACCTGACGTAGGAGATGTAGGACATCCACTGCAGGTACCAGGGGATGGTGTCAAAGCTGACGAAGAACCCAGAGAACAACAGGACCGGGATCGCCGTGACGGGTCCCACAAACGTCGCCACCTGCAGTAAACAAGCACACCTGAGCGCGGTCTCCATGGAAACGGACCAAACGGCGCAGTCAGGAGGGCGGAGAAGAGACCTGCAGGGAGGTGGAGGCGGCGCCGATCAGCAGACCCAGACTCTGAGCCACCAGAGACGTAAGGACCCCCAGAGACAGGAAGAGGAAGAACCGGCCGGCGTCCGGAGGCTGAGCCGTCATCCAGTAAACGATGCTGCAGTAGACCACCGGGAAGACCACCTGCCAGGAAGACCACCCCTTTATTCAGGACGTTCAGCTACCTAAAGTATCCAGACTATCTCTACATGACCTGAGTGAAGCTGCCCCCCCTGACCTTCAAATCTAACGAAATTGGTGTCAAACGTTTGTGCAGCAAAAGTTTTTGTTTGTAGCTCTTTCACTTTAAAGATCTTACTGACCTCTGGAAGCGTTTCATTAAGATCTTTAAAATGTTTGCGGCACGAACACAACAGAGCTCAGTGACACCAAATTTGTAGAAACACTGGGTTAAATTATTTCAAAGCAAATGGGATTGGAAGAAAAAGCGTTTCTGTTGGTTTTTCAGGTCAGGTTGTGAAACACCTAGATGACCGTCTGCGGCTGTGAGTTACCTGGAAGGGGAGGTCGGCCATGGTCTTCGCCAGGTAGTACGCCTTCAAACTGTACCAGTAGTTCAGGTGTTCCCTCAGGAAAACGCCCAACTCCAGAGGAACTGAGCATGAGAAGACAGAAACATGGAGGATAAGAACCTGCTGCTCCTGGTTCCTGCTGGAGGAACCAGGTTTCTCTGGTTCTTCTTCTGCAGTTTGGACCCGGCGACTCACAGGTGAGCACTGTGGGCATGAGAGCAGCGAACATGAGGAACAGCATGGAGAAGAAGAGGAAGCCCGAGTTGCTCAGAACCTTCTTGGCTTCGTTGCCAATGCCCAGGTACAGGAGGCCGATCAGAACTCCAATCCCGATGTGAGAGGAGATCCTGAGGTGGGTCAGCACCTGCTCAGCCAATCACAGACACCAGGCACAATCAGCCGGTCATAAACTGATAATCTACATAACATGAAATGTGAAGCAGCTGCTGCTGAGTCCAGATGCTTTTGAACGTGTTAATTTATGGATGTATAAAAATAAACCTGCAACCTTTTCTATAATTTTCCACTGATGTTGGGACATTTATCCTGGATTATCATCAAACATTGAAAGGTCAAAGGGGCAGCATTATGTTCACCATTTTATAGCATAATAACTGGCTGTTACATATATATCAAACATGACTTAGAAGAAGTTTTACTTCCTGATTTCACGCCCTGAACTTGGGTCTCTGTCTCTTTAAGAAGCTCCTGCTCTTCCTGAAGCTCCGCCTCCCAACATGGCTCCTCTATTAACCCTTCACCAATGTTTTCCCAGCATTTCACTGAGCAGTAGCTCCTGTAATGAGCTCAGCAGTTCCAGCAGCTGTTTGCTAATTGCTGCTGGCTAGTCTGAAGGAGCTGAGAGGGGGAGGAGCTGCGGAGATTAAAGGTTTTCTCAAACATGCAAGAAAAAATCAAGACAGCACTCCAGGTTTATCTTTGTTGAGGGAAAAACATTATGACATGATGGAAAACTAAAAGAAAAGTTGATCTTGCATGATACTGCTCTTATAAACATTAATTTCTGTTAAAGGAAAAATGAAAACTCAGGTTTTTGTTTTATATTCAGAAGGAGGAACCTCTGGTGTGGAACCAGGTAACCTGTTTGTTCCCTAAATGCTAATTTAAGTGAAAGTCAGACCATCATAAAATCTGAATCGGTGAGAAGTTTCCCCACCGAGTCGCGGAGGATGCTGAGGAACGTCCGCCTGAACAGGATGCAGAACTGAGTCTTGCAGCTGGCTGAGAAGCTGTGGCAACCTTCAGACGAAGAGCTCTCCTGTCAGGAGCAGAAACATTCAGCCGACAGAATCTGATCTTATTCCACCGCCTGATTATTCCTCTCCTTTGGTTTCTACCTCCTGCCAGAGGAGCGGATGCAGGTTGGCGTCTCCGTTCAGCTCCGTCTGATGCTCTTCCTCAGACTTCCTGTCCTGAACCGCCTTCACCAGTCTCACCATCTGGTCCCCGTACTCCCCGGACGCCACCTCCATGACTACAGAGAAGACAAGTAAGTTAATGTTTTAATTTATCTGGAAAAAGTAATTTTAGGGGAAGCTAAGAGGCCTAAATGTTTTCTAAGTTAGCCAAAATGCTAAAGCAGTAATTAGCAGAGGTGTGCCCACCACTGGCTACATGGAGTAGCTATAGTTAGCCAATGACTATCTTGCTGCAGAAAGCATTTGGAGTGATTTTGGTTTAAAATCAGCTCAGAATTTTCTAATCAGAGATGATCAAACCTGCCTCTGCATTCTCCAGTCTATCCTTTCCCAAAGCCTCTGACTTGTAGGACATTTCCAAAAACAGCTACTAGTTAGGGAACCTTTAGTAGAAACATCTGAACTGACTTCCTTTAGTGAGGAGAAGCAGTTACTCTGTGTTGAATTCCCCAGACATGTTAAGTATCTCAGGATACTGGAAGCCAGGCAGCTGCTGTAGGAGCAGAGGGTTGAGAATGGAGATCCCACCAAAGATAAAGCCAGTAAGATCATCCCAGTCTGCCAGGCCAAAGTCTAACCTCTATGCAAAACTCACACAAGTCAACCAAGACAATATTTACGGTTCTACCTTCAGAAAACCGTGGTAGATCTCGTCAACTAGAGTTTTTGTACTCGGTTGTTTAGCTATCAGACCTCAGCACCAGTAATAGGCAAGATGTCTTCCACACAGGCACCTCAATATTCAAGGACAAAATTTTTAAGGTTAGAAGAACATCAAGGTCTGCTTTCTAATACCTGCCAAAAAGTTTATCTGAGGTGAACAACACATTGCCTCCAAGGTAAACAAAGTTGTCAAGCATCGGGCAGTAGGCCAGAACTGTTCTGATTCCTTCTCCTCAGGTCCAAACTGAGATTCTCTTTCTGCTGTCTATACAGTAAATGGGTCTTGGAAAGGGATTCATGCTGTGACTGTTGGTGTTCTCACTGAAGTCAGCCGGGTTGTGGTAGGTCGGACAGTTCAGTCCGAGTTCCTGCAGGTATGGAACCAGACTGGACACCTTCCCCCTGTAGATGCACTGACCCTGACTCAGCACATAGAGCTGCAACACACAGACAGAGTCCAGGCAGGTCAGAACCTCTACCCACAGCAAATCAGTTCATAAACAATATTTAGACACTCAATGAAATGTGTTTTTGTGACAGACTAGTGCCCTGTCCAGGGTGTCCCCGCCTCTCGCCCGAAATGTTCACTCACTGGAGATAGGCACCAGCACCCCTCCCAGCCCCACTAGAGACAAGGGTGTTAGAAAATGGATGGATGGATGAAATGTGTTTTATTTATGTGCAAAAGACTCTGAGAGTTTATTGGTCCTTTGATGCAAAGTTTCAAAAATTGACTAATTTTTTCAATAAAGCAAAAGAAGGAAGTTAGTGGCACCACCTAGTGGACCAAACCTTATATCGGCGTTACAGAACAGCATCTGGCTCCAGGCTAACCTCTTTGTTCTCCTTCTCTAAATCCTAATTTAAACGTAATTCTAACATTTTTCCCCCTGCTTTCTCTGGTGTTGGTATTAGAGTGCTGCTGAGTCTGAAAGTGGTGTTGCAACTTAGGCTGGTGTTAGGTCTGAGGAAAGTGTTAGCTTTTAGGGAAATGTTGGTCTCTGGGAAGTGTTGGGTCTTAGGGAAATGTTGGTCTCTGGGAAGTGTTGGGTCTTAGTGTCTGCATCTAAATGGTGTATTGAGTCAGTGAATTTGTCCTCCTCATCTTGCCTTGTCAAACAGCTCAAAGAGTTTGGCGCTGGGTTGGTGGATGGTGCAGATGACCGTCCGTCCTCCTCGAGCCAGAGCTTTGAGAAGAGAGACGACTTGGAAACAAGACGAACTGTCCAAACCACTGGAACGCAAACAGACACGGGAACGAAAGTCAGTGTTTTCTCAAAAAAGACAATCTGAAGTTCCTCATGATCCAAACAGTTCAAGCTTCTGCTCAAAGAAATCAACAGAACCAGATGGACACTCACTAATAATTTAACCAACCATAAAAACTGGAAATTCAAAATAAATTGAAGAGAACTGGTTAATCCATCTGTGGAACCTTCAGCTCACCTGGTGGGTTCGTCAAAGAACATCACCGGAGGATTGTTGACAAGCTCCAGGGCGATGGCCAGCCTCTTCCTCTGGCCTCCAGACAGGTGGGAGGTTCTGGTTTTAGCACAGTCTAGTAGACCCAGAGCTGTCAGGATCTCCTGGACCTGAACAGAAGCAGACCTGCTGCTCAGATTCAGAGGCAGAGTTGGAGCAGTGAAGCTGTTTGAAGCTGAAACCCACCATCTCCCTCCGAGCCTCCACCTTCTCCTGCAGCTTCAGGTTGGCTGAAACCTGCAGAAACACACAGATTTCACCTCCAGACCTGAACTGGAAACCCGTTTCAGCTCAGCAGAGAGGGACGGAGACTGTACCGGCTTCATCACTGAGGCCGGTAATGTTCTTTTGTTTGGTTGAATTTCAGATCAACTGGATGGTTTTAGCTTTTTCACCATTAGTCAATATTAGTAAAAATATTAAATTAACCGTAAATAAATCATAAAAAGTTGTGTTTTTGTCAACTTTTTCTAAAAAACAATTTAATGCCTGTTCCAAATAGAAAACAATAAAAAAAGAAATACAGGAATAATTTGTATTATTTTGACTCTGGGAAGCTGTGGCTGTGGTTGCTCCTACCATCATGGCCTCCTGCACGGTGAGGTGCGGCAGCAGCATGTCGTCCTGCATGATGTAGCAGGAAACCTTCCGGAAAGAGCGCAGGTCTCTGGGTTGACCGTTGATCAGGATCTCACCCTTCATCCCCGTCTCCCTGTTGGAAGGACTCGGTGAGTCTGGGCTGTGTCCGTCTGAAACGCTTCGGGAAAACTCGGACCGCCACAGGGCGTGTGCATGAAGAGCCTCCCGCTCACCTGTATCCTGCCAGGATATTCATGAGCGTGGACTTCCCGGCTCCTGAGGGCCCCATGATGGCCACCAGGTCCCCGCTGGTGAATTTCCCAGAGATGGCTTTGAGCAGAGTTTTGTAACCTGAAACGAGGCGGAACAATGAGTCTGCCGGTTCCCAGCAGCACCCAGAGCGGCTCTTTGTCCTGCAGGCCGGCTCCGGTTTCACACCGCTTCCTCTCTGACTGGGCTCAGCGGTTCCACTCCACCAGCCGAGCTCTGATTGGCTGGAGGGTTCATCAGACGAGAGGAGAAGATCTGCTTCTGAACCAAACCAGACAACTGGAGGGGTTAAAGGTCAAAACGCACAAAAATAAACAGAAAAGTTCATTTCAGAACCCGTACAATCAATCAGTCCATCCATCCATCCATCCATCCATCCATCCATCCATCCATCCATCCATCCATCCATCCATCCATCCATCCATCCATCCCATTAATCTAGAACCTGAATAGAACAACAATGCAGATGATCTTCAGTAACCTCTGCAGTTTATCTGCTGATGGAGTCGAAACACTCCTTAATGGGATTATCATGTTTAATCTGAGAACGGGATTAAATCTCCGCTGGCCGACAGTAACCTCTGCAGCAGCACCAGAACCTGTACACCACGCTACAACTGGTACAAAACCCATAAAACAGAGAGTACTACACCCTGTACTGTGGTGGTACTACAGAGTACTTCCCTCTCTACTCCTGCCTGTTCTTGTTATCCAACCATCCTCTGATTGGCTGTTTGCCTGTGGGGGCGCTGCACCCAGAACCATTGAAGGAAACGACACAAAAACCTCTGAACCACTGAGAGCAACTTCCTTCTTCACCAGATGGAAACAAGATGGAGGCGTCAGATTTTAGCTGTTGGAGGATTTCTCTTTAGTCTTTGGCTAAAGACCACAAGACATTTCTCCTGCTAGCGCTAGGCTAACATGTTAGCTTTGGTTGTATTTACCCAGAATGCCCTGTGCTGTAGTCCACTTCCTGCTTTTGGAGCGGTCTGTGGTCCACTTGGCGTTCACATTCAAACCGAACCAGAGTTCACTTTGACCGAACCCAGACTGAGGTCTGGAGGACCAGAGGTCAGAGGTCACTGGATCGGTTCGTTTACAAATTCACACTTCCCCAAGCAAACCAGAGTTTCTAGGCAAATGGACTGGAGTTTGATTAAAGCAGAGTAAACGGAACCGGTGTGAATGCACCCTGTGTAAGGCGCTGTTCCTAGTAGGACAATAAAACAACGACGATATCTATTAGGACAGAGTCGTGATCAATAGAAATACATTTGATAGAATGTTGATAATTTCACTAAACTTCCATCCAGAACCGCAAAGCATTCTGGGGCATGTGGGCAGAGGAAAGGGTTTTGCCGCTCAACCTTTGTCTTCGTCTGATACTCTCAATAAATCCTTCATTTGAATTTAAATCGCTTGGCTGAATGATTTGTACTAAGCTATTGGGTAGCGACCGATTTGTTTATTTTACTATTTTAATTTTGAATGTGTGCCGTTTGGGGCAGAACCGATCCGGTTCAGGTCTCATCAGGTTCTAAACTCTAGAAAAAACAACAGTTCAAGACCTGAGTCAGTCTGAGGAAGATGTGAGCAGATGAGAGAGAAGCCATGAAAAGTTTGGGACGTACAGATCGAACCAGAGGAACAACCTGTTTCAGCTTTATTCACACCTGAGCAGGTGAGGAATGTTCCCACTGAAACCAGGAGGGTTCACCTGCAGCAGAAACAAAGAGCTTTAACCGCTGCTTCCAGAGAAATACGATCTGTGCCGACCTTTATTCCAGAGTCGCAGAACAAAACCGGCAGCAGCTAGGGATTCGCAGTGAGACGAGTTTCCTGCTGCTGAACGCAGCTCAGAGATTCAACTTTTAGAAAAACCTTAAAACTCTGATAAATGTTTCTGTCAGGGTGTGAGAAACAACTCAACTTTCTCAGATTCCTCCTCTAAAGATGCTTCACTCACAGATCCCTGTTCTACACGCGAAGAAACCGAAGCTGCTCTGCATCTCAGCAGGGTTTGGTTGCCGTGGTAACAGGTCAACAGGTGAGGTAATTAGATAATCCAAAAACATTTACATGAAACCTGTCAGGAAAACCTGCAGAAGACCTTCACCACTCAACTGAATGTATAAACCAGAAAACTGTTCAGTTCAAACATCATCGGTGAGCAGCTCAGCCTGTCAGACCAGAGGTCAAATCAGGGGTCATCCAGGAGATTCAGCTGGTCCGATTGGACAAGAGAAAGAAGCAAAGCTAGTACAAGAGTAAGACCAAGAAGACGGAGACCGGACAAGAAGAACCGGCAGACCGGATCAGAGCGAGACCAGAAAGGAGCAACATGAAGACACTGGGGGAGAAACCGTGACGATCAGAGACTCGGTGGGCTTTGCTGTGGTCACTGCAGCTGTCAGCCTGACCAGAGCAGCTGTTTGGGTGAATGTTGTATGAAGCGCTTTGACTTAAAAAGTCCTAAAATTATTTATAATTTTTTACTAAAAAATGGCGTCACTATTCAGAACGTCAGATTTGACCTTCTATTTACTTTAAACTTTAAAGTTTACAGAGTTTAATAAAATGTAATGATGGAGTCTGTAGCTCAGAAGTGACTTTCACTTTAACAGGATGTTTTATTCATACGTTTGTTTTTAAGTTTGACTTGTTGCCATAGCAGGTCAAAGTGCTTTGACTTACAATTCATTTACTCTGTTAATGTACATGAACAGAGTTATTCAGCTGCCTGGTTGCCGTCTCGACATCGAGAGTCTCTGTTTCTCTTTAACTTCAATATTTAACCACTTCAACCTGTAAGAACTTAAACATCTATATTCCAGTTCAATTAGGACAGATGTCCAGTGGGTGGACTTAGCACCGCCTCTGAGGCACAGCTCCTCCCCCACTTAGCTCCTACAGACTAGCCAGGAGCAATTAGCAAACAGCACATTATTAGAAAACACTTGGTGGAACTGCTGATCTTAGCATTGCTGGTAAAAACGTTGTTAAAGGGTTAATAGAGGAGCCATGTTGGGAGGACTTCCTGGAGGTGGAGCTTCAGAAAGAGCAGGAGTTTTTAAAGAGACAGGCCCAATTTCAATATTTCTCTTAAGTTATATTTGATATATACAGAATTTTGAGGTGATATAGTTACTCGGTTGTGCTATGAAGTTGCACTTTGTGGCTGGAAAACACATAATTCTGCCCTTTAAACCAAGTAACAAACTGCAGTGATTCCTGTAAAAATCTCTGTTTAAAGTTTTGCAATCATCCTGGATCGGTGAAAGCATCGGCGTTTGAAATGTGGCTGGAAGCCGTGCAGGCGGGTTTCCAGGCAGGTTTCCAGGCGGGTTTCCAGGCGGGTTTCCAGGCGGGTTTCCAGGCGGGTTTCCAGGCGGGTGAAGCGGCGTATCGCTGCTCAGATCCAGACTCTCTGCGCTGCTTTGTTCTGCTCTGAAAAGCTGAAACACAATCCCAACGTTTCTGTTCACATTCTGGGTTTTACAGTCACCGCTGCTCAGAAAGAGTCTTCTTCTTCTGATGCTGAGGTTGTTAATAATCAGAAGACTTAATAAAGCACACTCAGATTATAATCTGACAGTTGGATCAACTCAGCGTTAGCGGTTTCTGGTTCTCTGCAGACTCATCAGATTGTTGTTTTCCTTCATCACAGAGAAATTCCTCTCAGCTGTGTGTGGCAGAGCTTCTTAATCTGACCTGCAGCTATTTCCAGCAGGAGATGCTGAGTGAGATTAACAGATTACAGCCTGTTAATCCAGCAGGAACACACCAACAGAGTGGGACCGGGACAATAACAAACCGCTGCTGGTGGCGTCTTCGTCTCCTGCTGGTTCTCCGTGCTTTCTGAGCTCAGCTGTGACTCTGGAACAGATCAGAAATCCACCCGTCTCTGATTATTCCCTGAAAATGCAGATTAGGAATAATTTTCCCACCCTGGTTTTGGCGCCTCTTCAGGCACGGCGCCCATTTGCACCCACTTTTTGCGCCACTGGTTGTAGTTTGTTGTTGGACCACAGATCAACAGTCTAAAATCATCCAATCAGATCAATTCATTTAATTTACATAAAAAAACTGAACATAATCTGATCACGGCTGCTGTGGATCTGCGAGGTGGAGCAGATTCCAGTAAGACGGTTCTGTGTGGCGACCGGTCCAGGTAATCAGATCAAAAATAATTCAATCCAATCACACAGACTGATCCCCGTTTGTTCCTGCTTCTAATGCTGTCAGGTTATTTACCTGAAGAACTGTCTGATTTACAGCTTTCCTCCTCTAAACAAGCACAGGGCGACAGTGGAAAGAACAACTCCCGTTCAACAGGAAGAGTTTTCCAGCAGAACCAGAGCCAGACTCAGGAAACTTTCTGTTGGTCTGTCCATAAAACCCCCCAAAACACAATAATGGTTGAAATGCTTTAAGGTTTTTCTGTATAAATTTCTCTGAACTGTGATCAACTCTCACACTTTGTGGTGCATAGAAGCAGCTTTCAGCTTCTATGCACCACAAATCTGGAACAGACTTCCAGAAAACTACAAAACAGCCAAAACTCAGAGTTCCTTGAAAATCAACCCAGCTGCTTTTGGACTCTGAACGACTGGAAGTCGCCTGCGCTGTAACGAACCGTCCGGCCGGTCCGAACCGTCCGGCCGGTCCGAACCGATCCGAACCGTCCGGCCGGTCCAAACCGATCCAAACCGTCCGGCCGGTCCGACCGAGGCGGCCGGCTGTGTTCATTCAGTGACGGGCCTGTGACCAATGAAAAATTGTAGTTTTCTGGAAGTTTGTTCCAGATTTGTGGTGCATAGAAACTGAAAGCTGCTTCTATGAACAAGATCTACTGGATGATAAATTGTCCCAAAAGTTATTGTGATTAATGACAATATTGTTGTTTTGAGATATAATATAATTATAATATTTATACTATACAAAATAATGATAATAGCATAATTATGCTTAAAAATCAATAAGCTTTAAATTCTAATGAACTGGAACTGTTTTAAATATCCAAAATAAATAAAACAAATGAAATGTATGAAGACTCTGTAAACTAAAGACGGGACCAAAACAGGCTGAAGACTTTTCATCCAGTTCTTGGTAGAAAGAGGGAAAAATGATAAACCATGCTAATATAAATTATTGAGCTTGTTTTAATCTGTCACGTGATGAATTGATTTATTGATTATTGTGATTGGCAACACGAACTGAACGGCTTCAATCTGCAGCTCTTGTTTGATCTAATTCTTCTCACTGTGTCTGCAGGCTCCCATGATGCATTCTGATCTGGTTGAAGCACAGCGAGGCGTCTGGATGCTGTCGGGTCACTTCAGACTCCAACATTAAGATGCTCCAGGTAGGTCCTGGCTGAAAGCCTCGGGTTGGTTCTGTCCTGTCCCACGCGGTTTAACCGAGCGAGGTGACGGCAGTGACCTGAGCAACATGGCTGACCCTCTGATGGAGGGAACTCCAGCCTGGTCCGGGTGGAGATGAAGCACACAGATCATCTTCATCCTCTCCATGCTGGGCTCACTGAGCATCAGCTCATAAATAAATCTGAGTCAGCTCAGTGACCGAACGTCATGAAGCTCCATTTCCATTCAGCTATAAATAAAATTACCAAAATAAATGAGCTAAATGGAAACACACTTTGAAAAAACACAGAAAACAAAACATGAAGCAGGAAGGAGATTTGAAACGATTTATAACCTTGACTTTGACATCCAACTAAATATTTAGCTTGTAAACTAACTATTTTAGTTTGAAAGCTAAACATTTAAGTCAGATTTAAAAATTTAGTTTTAACTAAATATTTAGTTTTCAAATAAACATTTAGCTTCCTAACAAATTATTCAATTTCAAAGCTAAATATTTAGCTTGTGAGTTAAATATTTAGTTTGCAACTCTGACATTTATGAATGCATGAATAACATGGTGAAAAATGAAATCCTGCATTTTTTTTCTCTGTCGGACTAAATACACTTAAATGTAGCTGTTAGCTGTTAGTGCCCCGTCTAACCCGAACCGCCAAGGCCTAAACCTGCCAATCCACGGGCCGCTAAGCGCACCTATCTCAGCTGGGGGTCAACAGGTGGGGGTCACCAGGTGGGGGTCAACAGCTGGGGGTCAACAGCTGGGGGTCAACACGGTCCAATGTAGGTGAAGGTCAAACCATGAGGTCATCATCATCGTCCCACCTCAGTCCAGACAAAGTAACCATGATCTCTTCATATGGGGTCAGTTCAAGAGTCACTGAGTCAGTTTGACCTTTGACCCAGAGCTTAAAGATCCTGGGGTTCATGGTTTGGAGTAGAAATGTGGCCGTTTGTAATCATATTTGGGCGCCTGGTAAGGATTTCTTCTGAACACCTTCCAGTGGAGGAGTTTTATCCCTTCACGCTCAGTACAGACTAATGAAGCAACACCACCTTCACCAGTAGATGGATTGGTGGTCTTAATTTCCACTCTGATCAGTTGTTACCATACTTTTGCCATCAAAGACTCTGCTGTGAACCAAACCGCCTCAGATTATCCAGAACCTGTTGGTTCCACTCCACTGGCTACCTGAACCCCCCATGCAGCTCACCAGGGGAAGTTCTGTCAAACAGCTGCTGATTTAGCGGCAGCTGGTTCTTCTGGATCGCTGATCTCCTCAGAGGAATGTTGTCTGGTACCACTGTGCCTATAAAGACAATCTCAGTCCAGGCTGCTGAGGTTCCTCCACGGTGGTACAAACTATCAGTAATCAACTCTCATCTCCAAACAACTCCACCAACTCCTCTGACTTTGGGCCACTGGAACGGTTCTACTGACTCCCTAAAGTCTCTTCTTCATGGACGTGGCATTAACTGGTTCTTCCTCAATCAGGCCTAGCCAGATTCATCTCCATTTGCAGATGCTGCGCAGTTCCTCCCTGTTTGTAGGAACCACCCAGAGGTGGTACCAGTCGGGCCAAGCTAGTTTGATTGGCAGCAGACTCCATTAGTTGACTGGAACAACAACATCTGAACCAACCATGAGACCACAGCAGTTGACGATAAATACATGGTCAAACTTTGAGGTCCAAACCTTTTTATCGGTTGTGGTGGAAAAGTCCTGACGGCGTCAACTGGACGAGGCAATGAGCAAATATACCGAGAGAAACTGGCCACCCAACGGTATACACACAAAATGACATCATTGGCGTGCCAACCACAGCGAGGAATGGACCGCCAATGGAGTCACTCCCAACTTGACCAGAACCAAACCAGACAGTCGCCACCGTCTGCAGTGAGACTTGACAACATCAGTAAATCCTGACAGTAAAGTTATGCGTTTCCGTCTCTGCCAGGTTTGATTCCTACCTTTTTTCCTCCACCAGGGTCCCTCTCTGATCGAGTAAGAGACATCTTTGAACTCTATGTTGACGGCTGGTCTCCGTGGTAACGAGGAGAACCTCTGGGCCTCCGTCAGGGTGTTGTCCACCTTCTTCAGGGGTCCGTCCAGCTTCTTCTGGTGTTTCTGCAGCAGCGGTGTCTGCTGGGTTCCCCCCGGATGCTTGTTCATCCCCTCTTCCAAACAGACGCACACCGTCCGGGGGTCCAGCATCAGGTCGGGGGGCCCGTTGGTGTTCTGCAGGCAAGAAGATGTTTCTTTCAAGCTCAGTTTGTTCTGTGCCGCCATTTTAAAAAGAAATTCAGAGGTTTTCTTTCAACTGTTTAAACATGATTCTTCCAGTTGTGGATGGAAGACGTAAAGTGAGGTTGGTGCAGACTTCATGAGGACGTGTTAGTGCGTCTGCTGGAGAAGAGCAGTGAGCACTCAGATTAGCAGGCTCCTGTTTGTGTGGGACGCTTTGAGGCTCTAATCTGTCCTGGAGGTTACTGCTGGACAGACTGAGCCGATTGCTGCCCTGAATCAGCACAACACTAAACATCACATACACCTGGAGAAAACAATCAGCACATAGAGGAAAAGATTTTTTTAAAGCCAAAAATTAACTTTAGCTTCTTCTCTTTGTGATCAATCCCTGCTGTTGCTGGAAGACTGCAGTAGGGGGCGCACTGTGGAGAAGTTCTACAAAGATCAAGACTAAAAAAGAGGAATTATGCAAACTGGCACTTCTGCACTTATGGGAGCTTTAAACGCATTTCCTTAACACTGCCTCTAGTGATCAGCTTTATGTTGCACACTATGAGAATGTCGCCAGAAACATTTAGAAAAAGCACAAAACAGATAAATCAGAGACTTGGGAGTTAATCTAAAACCAGATTTAACGACTCAAAAGCCACTACCACACCTGCTGATGTTTCAGTTCAGGTTAAAGTCTTAATTTGTGTTTTTTTCTGTTGCAGTGTTCAGGCGGTGGACAGTGGACACCTGTCCTCTGGTGGGTCTCCCTGTTCATGAGCCACTGAGCCACTCAGTCTGCCAGAGGAACCTTCTGTCCACCACTGAAGCAACGATTCAAACTCTGTTCAGTCTGACTGCTTTATATTCTGATTATTAGAAATTATTTGCATTTCTAAAATAATATTAATAAGAAAAAACAAAATCAGATTCTGTCTCATATTTGTTTCTGTCTGTCTGAGGAACTGAACAACTAAACTGTCAATATGAGACAGAAACTCTCAAAGTCGGGTTCATCCTTGTGTGTGTGTGTGTAGGTGTGTGTGTGTGTGTGTGTGGCACTCACCATGATGATGGAGTTGGTCACAGTGGGATTGTGCACAGACCAGGCGGCCATCAGACAGGCCATGGCAGACAGACTGCAGCTCTGTGAAGCTCTGCCTCTGAGGAAACTCCCCTCTGCCCGGCGCTGGGAAAAGTCTCCGCCCCCTGAGCTATAGCCCCGCCCATAGCTTTAGGCCACGCCCATTCATACAGGCCCATGTGCAAAATACAGATTACTGATTATTGTTTAGGATGAATATGAATATCTGTCCTAAGAGGTGGAAGCTAATTTAATTTCAATGTTGAAACCAATGGTGATTTTTGATGTGGGTAGCTGCCCAGAGCAGCATTAGCATCAGGGGCTAATGCACAATCATCAGATAAAATAATAAAATAAAATTATATATATATGTATATATATACCCGGGTCTCCCGGGTGGAAGACTGGTGACTTACCCACTGAGCTATACAGTCAGCTAAACACCAGAGCAATAGAAGCTCAGATCTACCACACCAGACAAGACCCAAGGTGTAGGTTGTGCAAGGAGGCCTCTGAGACAGTCCAGCACATAACAGCAGGGTGCAAGATGCTGGCAGGGAAAGCGTACATGGAACGACATAACCAAGTGGCGGGCATAGTGTACAGGAACATCTGGGCAGAATATGGACTGGCAGACCCGAGGTCAAAGTGGGGAACACCCCCAAAGGTGGTGGAGAATGACCGAGCTAAGATCCTGTGGGACTTCCAGATCCAGACAGACAAGATGGTAATGGAGAACCAACCAGACATTGTGATGGTGGATAAAGAACAGAGGAAAGCCGTTGTGGTGGATGTAGCAATACCAAGTGACCACAACATCAGGAAAAAGGAGAAACTGGAGAAATACCAGGGCCTCAGAGAGGAACTGGAGAAGGCCTGTGGTGCCTGTGGTCATCGGGGCCCTCGGGGCAGTCACCCCCAAACTGGAGCAGTGGCTCAAACAGATCCCAGGAACAACATCAGACATCTCAGTCCAGAAATGTGCAGTTCTAGGCACAGCCAAGATACTGGAGGAGAACCTGAAGCTCCCAGGCCTCTGGTAGAGGACCCGAGCTCAGAGGATGAAAGAGAGAGACCACCCACAGAGGGTGAGAAGGGAATTTATATATATATATATATATATATATATATATATATATATATATATATATATATATATATATATATATATATATATATATTGTTAGGAAGCAATAATATTTTCTGTAATGTTTAAGTTCTAGAATGTGTGTATGTGATCCTTTTGTTTGT